TTTCCGGTAACGAATCGTCGCTCTCGCCACTCCATCCACGAGTGCAAACACTTCGTGGCTGCATCACCGACAACTTTAGGTGCTGGATCGGGGGTCGTCGTCGGTGTTTGCTAAAGGTTGCCTCTGTGTTGTAAATAAACGGCGCGACCCGAGCGTACTGAAGATAGAAGCCAAACATCCAGCAGGATTTCTGGTTTCCTTTATATATATATATATATATAGTTCCGCCCCCCTCTACCGCCTTCTTCCGTACCTTATAGAGCACAGCTGTACTATTCCCCCCCCCCAAAAAAAAATTGGCCGAAAAGCGATATTCGGAGTACGTATACACTAACGGTCATAAGACGTTGCCCGCGACCATCGAAAACCATTCGTCTTCCGACGGTTAATCCGATACATGGAGCTGCGAAATTTCAGCGACACGGTTGTTTTTATGTTTCTGGTCTCCTGACTTCTGCGAACGACGGATTACGATCGCCGGATATCCATCTCGGTGGACGTAGAATAAAGCAGACCCGATTTTCTGAAGCTTCGCAGATTATGGTATTCGGAAATGAAAGAATTTCGTAGCTTGCTTTAACCCTTTCGCTACGGGCGGGTTCTCCGTCGCGGTACTTCTGCTGAACAGAGCGCTGCGACATCACTGCACGCTACGCGACGGCGATCATCAGCGGAAGTCGGTACTCCGCGGCGGTCGGCGGAGAACCTAAGCTGTTTGAATTGAATGAATTTTTCGAACGAAAAAATTTTTCTCCAAAGGGTATTTATAAATAAAGAGTATTCCAGGGTATTTTATAACGTCTTAGCATGCGCTCTTTAATTTACAGTATGAGAGGAAATAAAACATTATGCAATATAATGCATCTTATGGAAAGCCACTATAGTGGTCCGTAGTACCTCAGTGGCACCATATGGAAAGCCACTATAGTGGTCCGTAGTACCTCAGTGGCACCATATGGAAAGCCACTATAGTGGTCCGTAGTACCTCAGTGGCACCATATGGAAAGCCACTATAGTGGTCCGTAGTACCTCAGTGGCACCATATGGAAAGCCACTATAGTGGTCCGTAGTACCTCAGTGGCACCATATGGAAAGCCACTATAGTGGTCCGTAGTACCTCAGTGGCACCATATGGAAAGCCACTATAGTGGTCCGTAGTACCTCAGTGGCACCATATGGAAAGCCACTATAGTGGTCCGTAGTACCTCAGTGGCACCATATGGAAAGCCACTATAGTGGTCCGTAGTACCTCAGTGGCACCATATGGAAAGCCACTATAGTGGTCCGTAGTACCTCAGTGGCACCATATGGAAAGCCACTATAGTGGTCCGTAGTACCTCAGTGGCACCATATGGAAAGCCACTATAGTGGTCCGTAGTACCTCAGTGGCACCATATGGAAAGCCACTATAGTGGTCCGTAGTACCTCAGTGGCACCATATGGAAAGCCACTATAGTGGTCCGTAGTACCTCAGTGGCACCATATGGAAAGCCACTATAGTGGTCCGTAGTACCTCAGTGGCACCATATGGAAAGCCACTATAGTGGTCCGTAGTACCTCAGTGGCACCATATGGAAAGCCACTATAGTGGTCCGTAGTACCTCAGTGGCACCATATGGAAAGCCACTATAGTGGTCCGTAGTACCTCAGTGGCACCATATGGAAAGCCACTATAGTGGTCCGTAGTACCTCAGTGGCACCATATGGAAAGCCACTATAGTGGTCCGTAGTACCTCAGTGGCACCATATGGAAAGCCACTATAGTGGTCCGTAGTACCTCAGTGGCACCATATGGAAAGCCACTATAGTGGTCCGTAGTACCTCAGTGGCACCATATGGAAAGCCACTATAGTGGTCCGTAGTACCTCAGTGGCACCAAATGGAAAGCCACTATAGTGGTCCGTAGTAGCGAAAGGGTTAAAGGGCCTTTTAGAGTGTAACGTACGGAGAATCTTCCCACGAATTTTTTATATTCCTTCCTAAAGGCATACGTCAGGCTGGCGCCAGCCAGCCGGAGGTTCATTTGTATATCGCGAGTCGAGTACCTCCGAGAGGGTACGACGACGAACATTTCTGGAGTCGGACCACATAGGAACACTCTCACTACCATTTTTCTACAGAAAATCTGACTATATAAAGGGCCCAAAACGCGACCGGGAATTGGGCTAGTTTCGAGTCATTCGTCGACGTGGAAACGTTAGTAAGATCGAGTTTCAATTCTCCTTCGAGCAATCTAATAGGTAATTAGACATCAAGTCAGAAGCCCCCGCCGATTCAGTGTGAAAAGCTGAGAGCGCGTTAGAGTCCGCGAACACTTGCTTACAGTTGTAAAACCCAACGCGTAATAAATTAGTTTTCACCAGTTTTCTTGGGTTACAAGTTCAATTATTTCCAGCTCCTATTTCGAACCAGTAGTTGGTATAACCCACCAAGATATATCTTAACCGCTCGAGGTATATCTTTATTTCTTTTCTAACAAAGTTACGGGGCACCCTAATATCAATTTCTCCAAACACCTTATCCTAACCTTAAAGGTAGCCACCCGTGTCGAAATAAACATCGGCTGGTCTACGCACCTCATCCTAACCTTAAAGGTAGCCACCCGTGTCGAAATAAACATCGGCTGGTCTGCGCACCTCATCCTAACCTTAAAGGTAGCCACCCGTGTCGAAATAAACATCGGCTGGTCTGCGCACCTCATCCTAACCTTAAAAGTAGCCACCCGTGTCGAAATAAACATCGGCTGGTCTGCGCACCTCATCCTAACCTTAAAGGTAGCCACCCGTGTCGAAATAAACATCGGCTGGTCTGCGCACCTCATCCTAACCTTAAAGGTAGCCACCCGTGTCGAAATAAACATCGGCTGGTCTGCGCACCTTATCCTAACCTTAAAATTAGCCACCCGTGTCGAAATAAACATCGGCTGGTCTGCGCACCTCAACCAAAAATTCCAATTGCATGCAACCTCCGGCCACCCAAACTGCCTGGCCCTCGGCTCGTAACAAGAGCATGATAAGACGAGTAGTATTGTGGTTATTTATTTAATCCTGAGATAGTAGCGTCTGAAAGCAGAGGTACTTAAATATTTTTGATAAATTATTTTCGTTTAATTTTAAATAGAATCGTACGTGTTTTGATGAAGGGCGAAGAAACGAATCCAACAAGTATAATGATTGAATACTTTCGATTGTTTAATCTCGAGATGTTTGCGTTTGAAAGTTGATTACTTAATGTTTATTAAAATAATGTTAATGTTTATTAAAATAATGTTAATGTTTAATAAAATAATGTTAATTAAAAATGGTGTGGCGTAAACTAAATACAGAATTAAACATTTCAAATTTAAGACCGACAGTGAAACACGGTGGTAGGAGTGTAATAGTGCGGGGTTGTATCTCGTCTGTAGGTGTAGGTGAAGTAGTTTTTATCGATGGTATTATAGACAAAATGAAGTATTTAGACATTTAAAAAAAGAATTAATTGCAAGTGCTATAAATATGGGTATACGTACAGTTTTAAGTTTTATTAGGACAGTGATTCTAAACACAAGGCCAGAATTGTACAGGAATATTTATTAAACAATTGCCCAAAAGTACTGCATCCTCCTCCTCAATCGCCTGATATAAATCCAATTGAAAATTTATGGGATCAATTGGGCCGCAAAATTCGTACAATACCTACAAAGACAATAACAAAGATAAAACAACGTTTGTTAGACGAATGGAAACGGATTCCGCTGGATTATTTAAATAAAGTCATCTGTAACATGCCCAAGCGATTACATGAAGTAATAAAACAAAAGGGTCAACCGACAAAATATTAATATTATGATAACATGATTAAAAAGATTTTCATTTTATATAAAATTAATGTAATTCACATTCACTGTCCGAATGTTTTTGTGACGTTAAATTTCGTCACAATCTTGTTTATCGCATATTATACAAAAGAACATGTGCAATAAATAAACAAAATTTATGTTTCTACTTACTTTAAGAAGTGCTTTATTATATGAGAAAACATTTGATTCAATAATACTATCATAAACAATAAAAAGGAGCAATAGTTCTTGTATCAATATCGTGTCCGAATATTAATGCGAGTCACTGTATATATTCATTATACTCGTTGCATTTGTCTTTCGATGCTCTACAAGAATATCGGTAACAATATACAGAATGTCGTATAAAAGTGTGCTGGAAATAGGAGTAGTATCTTTTTTCAGATACAAATATCAAGCGAACTACGAAAAAAAAACCGAAAAAATGGATCGTCGGATCTGTTGTACACACGAAAACCACACAATGGAGCGATAGAAAAAGACATATTCCTAGTTAACAATACATATGTAACAATAATTCAAACAATATTTATAATTGATTATGTTTTTCTTATTACATTGTCTATAATCATATTGTTCATAACTGATAATATTCTTTATTACTACTTTAGACAATATATTTGTACTACGTGACCTATAATATTATTTAAAAAAAATTGGTTAAGTAAACATTTTTATCACAATTAAATACAAAAATTACTTAACACGAAGATCGTCGTATGAAATTTTATATTCCAATCATATAATTGCAGTCAAAAATCGTAGCCAAATATTGTAGCTAAAATAGAAAAGTATTGACATCCACAAAAAATAAGTTCTTGGTCAATATGAAAATGTATAAAGTAAAATGTACAACTAAAATGTTTAGAATAAAATGTTCAAACAAAATGTTTAGAAAGAAATGTTCAAACAAAATGTTTAGAAAGAAATGTTCGATAAAGATGCTTAAAATAAAATGTTCAACTAAAATGTGTAAAATAAAGTATTCAACCAAAATGTTTCAAATGAAATGTTCAATTAAATTAACATCTACGAAAAATAAGTTCGAAACAATGCCTGTGTACGTCGATAGCGTCTGGTGTCGCATTTCGTATCGACGGCGCATTCAAATTCAGGAAACCTCGAAAACATAAAAACACCGATTTTCATAAAAGTCGCACGAAGTTGTGAATTGTGGCCAACTTTTTGGGCGAAAAGTGCCACGTGTGGCGTCGAGTGTCATCTGTCGAAGGAACGTGCAAACGCCGGAATACAAAAATTCTCCCCTCCACACGCTCGTCGATCCCATCGCACACTCTAACCGCCATTTCTGGCGCGGCTCCTATCGGGTCCCTTATTTCGTCGACGAAAAAATGGGGAGGTGGGTGAACTGGAAGAATGCAGTCTCAAGCCTCCGCGACCTAACCCAGTGAAATGAATTGGAGGACCGTGCCCCGACCGTGAAAATCGACGCCAGAAAAATATTTTCCCGGCCTTCGTGCCCCGGGCAACGATGCCGATCTTTTGCGTAAGCCGCTTCCAGATATCTCGCAGGGTCGCTGAGATCGCTCGGTCCCCGAAAAATTCCGTTGGAAAAGTCGTTCGCCCATCGATAGCAAAGATTTCTCGCAGACGGAAGTGGTCACGATTTTTTTTCTTGCGGATTTTAGGGTCGAAGGTTTAGGTTAGGTGGACGGGTTTTTATGGAGCTTGGGGGATGGCGTTTGAAATGGAGGGTTCGGGGTGTGGTGAAAAAAAAGATTGCAAATTGAATTGATATTTCATATTGCAAGTAATAATAAAATTTTTTATTCTATTAAAAAATCATTCAAATAATTCGACAAATAATTTATTTATTATTCCTTACTTGCAAATAAAATGTTATTTCTCATTTGGGTTTTAGAGAGGGACGATAAGATTTAGAATATTTAATTGCGCTGATATACATATGTATACTTAGTGAATAAATGTAGGATAATGTAAATTAAAGGGTTGGGACTTGAGAGTTCCAATATAATAATTACTAAAGAATTGAATTTGTGGAACAAAGTTTAAATTATTTAAGTTCCAAAATTTTAATTTTAAATTTTAATTTAAATATTAAGTTACTTCTGCTTATGTCTACATGCTCCTATGTTTTCAATAAATAGATTTTGGCTAGATTTTCTTTCTAATGTAAATTAAGGGTTGTTGACCAAGGTGATAATTACTGAACGGGTGAATTCGGAGTGCAAAGTTAATATTTTAAATAATTTCGAAATATTGATGAGTATTGATTTATTTTTGTCAATAGATTTAAGCTAGAACTCCATTTCCTTATAAATTTAAAGGTCCAGGGTTAATTACCGAGGTGTATTAGTTACTGATGAGGTAAATTTGGGGTGCAAGGTGAATATTTTAAATTACTGTGAAATATTCACGAATGCTGATTTCAGTCAATCAGCCGGTCCGGCTTCCCTTTTCGATGTGAATGGAATGGTTGAGGGTTAATGACCGATTGATCGTGGGCAAAGTGAACATTTAGAATCATTCCGGAATATTTCTGCATGCCGACGTATTTTTATAAAATCGACTTAGGCCAGGTTTCCCTATCAATATAAATGAAGAGAGGGGAGACTTATCAGTTTTTAAAAGGGTAAAATTAGGGCGTAAAGTCACCAGTTCATATTATTTGCAAATGTTTGCTAATACATTTCTATTAAATACGTTAAATAAATTTAAGTCAGCTTTCCTTTATTTTCTGAATCAGGGCGCCGAGGCTTGACGATAAAGATATCAACTATTGAAAGGGTGATTTTGGGGTGCAAAATTGATAGTCAAAATTATTCTAAGACACTCCCTGCGCTCTGATAATATTTTCTTGTCTACACGTATTCTGTAAGCAAGGGTTCGAGGTTCCCCTCTTGTACCCTCAAGTTACCCAAAGAGGTGAGTTTGGGGTGCAAAGTTGGCAGTTTGTATTATTTTGGGAAGCTTGTAGATACTAATATTATTTATGTCATGTAAATTTCGGCTGGGTTCTCCCCTTTTTAATGCAAATCAGCTGGTTGTGGGGCGGCGTTGTACATCTAATTTACAGAAGGGTCGAATTTTGGGGTGGAAAATTCACGTAATTTTGGGAAGCTCGCAGATACTTACATATCTTCATTATGTAAGTTCATGTTGTACTTCCCTTTTAATATAAATCGGGGGATCGAGGGTTGAAGTTTCAAATGTTGATTGCCGAAAGGGTGAATTAGGGGTAGAAAGATTACGGTCGAAACCATTCCAAAATATTTCTTCGTTCTTAGAAAAATCGATTGACTAAATGTGTCGTAAATTAGCTTCCCAATATGCGTGCAAGGGTTGAGTGCGGTATGTATATGGCATCAGTTACTAGAAGGGTGAATTTAGGGTGCGAGGGTTTACGTAGTTTCCGAGGAGGTCGTAGACTCTATGTTTATGCGGGTACGTTTATGTGGTAGCCAGTAATTTTCATGACGTTGTAATGACCAGAACTATAATTCTAGGCAATCATAGGTCTGCTGAAGCTGGTGATACTTCTGATTCTAACCGCATTCCTGTTCTCTCTCGCTGCCGTAACACGGTTGATGGAGATGACTGTCGTCGTAATGTATCCGGTGCCCATTTTCGTGCTCAGACTGTTTTCGGGAGTAGTCGTTGTGAGTACATGTATAAAGGCAAATCTTACTTTCTGAAACATTCGCTCTTCCCATAAACCGTCTTAATATTATGCTAATTTCTTAACATAACAGTTGAAAAGCTGGCTATCGACTTTTTAGTTTATCTAACAAGTAACTTACGTGGTCAGCATTAGTAAAATGAAGAAATTATTAATCACTGTCTCGAAATCATTTTTATGCAAAATAATCGAATATTCTTGATAGTTGATTGTGATAATTTTTCAGCATTTTGCTAGTGGTTTTTCGGTTGATCTAGTAACTTCTGCGGTCGTCGTTAACAAATTTAATATAAATTATGTTATTCATAATCTCTAAACCATTTTTATGCAAACTTCTGGCCAAAATATTTTAAAAATTGATGGACAATTTTGTCGTGCCACGCTAGTGACTTTTCAGTTTACCTAGTAACTTCTGTGATCGACGTTAATAAATAATAAAATGAATTGTACACTACGAACATGATCCAAAAGTACCAATAACGTCGGGGTAATTATAAATGCTCGATCAGTAACAAGCGGTCCGAAAGCGTTCGTCGCTCGCTTTTTATTTAAACATTCGCGCTGGTGTCGACCCCGTGTATTTTCTCGCGGCATAAGCGCCCGGGAAAATGGAAAACTGTCATCGTGACTGAGGGAAGTCTGGTGAAATATTAGGTTATTACGCGATTTGGTAATCCCATATCGTCCCAGAATCCGTCGCGCGAGTAATTCGGTGAAATTAGATCAGCCATTATGCCGATCCGCGAAATTCCATCTTAAGAGAGATATTTCGGGCATTCGAAGGGATCATTAAACTCTCTAATTGTAAATCGGCTTCATCAAAAACATCACTGACTTCTAATTTTTCTGAAATTTTAATTTCTACAATATTTCCAGACACGTTTAAATTCATTTCAAAAGGACATTCGATTTAAGCG